ACTCCTAGGAACCGCATTAAGATGTGTGTGGGTGAGAAAGGGTGAGTTGCTCATTGAGGGAAAACTTTCCAGAGCATCGGTGCCAGATCCTGTGCTGCAGATGGCCCTACTGGCTCAGCCAATAGCAAAGAGGAAGGCCTGTGTGCTTCCAAGTGCACCTTGGGATGCTGGTAATGAACCCCAGCTGTACTTAACTTCCTGTCCGCCTGCATGCTTCTTCAGCCCTTGGGGAAATAACTTCAGAAATCAGACCTGGGTGAGTAAGGGTCTTGGCTGATGGCCTTCCTTTCCCCACAGTCACTGGTGGCAGCTAAGCCACTATGGGCTGTGGTTTCTCGGTGACAGACACCATTCTTGGGTGTGCTTGTCCACATGCAGGCAAGTCCCAGGTATGTGAGGCTTGTGTGTCAGAGACTCAAGAGTTCGAGCTGCTCAGAAACCTTGTGCCTGGCTAGGCTGACTGTAGGCTGCACCTGGCTCCTGACCCCAGGAGAAGCTCTGCCACTTTTGCTAGTGCTGTCTTTGAGAGATGTCTACCCTGGAACCTGGCCTGAGAGGCAACAATGTGGGTAGGCTTTGTTATGTGTCTAGGCGAGTGTCCACTGAATGAAGGAGGTAAGACGCCTTAGTGACATGGCTGGCTCTACCCCAGGTGGTGGGCAGTGGGTGGGAGGACCTGGCTCTGAGCCATAAACTGGGAAAGGCCGCTGTCCAGACTCGAGGTTTGCTGCTGCATTGTCACCCCCAGCCTGCCCTCACTTGGTCTCTCATGACACACTCTGGATGAGCTGGCTTCGTGGAGCACAGCACGCAACAGTCAGCTTGGACTTCTTTCTGTAGCTGAGCCAGATGTGTAAGCTGTACAAATGCCTTTCAGAGAGACTTGGGAACACAGGATGAGGGTGTGGGGCATGGCGGGGACCTGTGCTGCACGGGATGAGTTGGCACGACCTAATAGATTTGGCTGGAGGACTACCTCACTGCCTGCCCAGTGTGGTCTGAAGGGCAAGTGCCTTCCTTCCCTGCCTAACACGGTTGGAGGCCTACCCAGCAGGTGATCCAGAGTCTGGAAGACTCCATGTTCAGAACACTCCACTCAAGCCCAAATGTTGGATGGTTTCAGGAGCTTGCGGGGAGACACCATGTTTGATAGCAGCTGCCTTGAGCTGACAGTTTGGGGGACCTCAGTATACACAGTTTTAGCAGGTGCTTGGCTGAATCATGAAAGGCAGGGGGGTCTTGAGATGAGGGTCTGCTGCAGTCAACTGTGACCTCATAGTTGAGGGAGCCAGGTCGGAGGGTCGGGTCAGGGCTGCCTTACAGGGTAGTGATGGCGAGTTTCTATTAGTTTCCTTCTCAGACCACACATTGGCTGTTTGAGGTTGCTTTTGCCAACTCTGGTCCAGAAGACAGTACTGTTATTTATGTAAGAAAATCTAATTATTCAAGCAGGGATGGAATTCTCTAGCCTGATTCAGAGATCTCCCTTTTTTGTGGTTCAGGGATTAATCACTTTGGTGCCCCTGGGGCTGTGCCCTTGCTAGGCAGGTGCTCTACCACTTGAGTCACGACCCCAGCCCCTTTTGCTTTAGTTATTTTTGAGATTGTTTTTGAGATTAGGTCTGTTTTCATGCCTGGGGCTGGTCTGGATTGTTTCCTGTGTAGTTGGGATGGCAGGCTTGTGCCACCTCATCCAGCTTTTATTAATTGAGATACGGAGTCAAGAACTTTTGCCAGGGCTGGCCTTGAACTGTGATCCTCCCCATCTCTGCCTCCCAAGTAGCTAGGATTACAGGTGTGAGTAACTGGGGCAAGCTTTATCAATTGGTTTCGAGATCTTCTGTCTTTAGTAGTTGGCTAAATGAGTAATTTGAATTATAGATACTCCTTAGCCATTGAGCTCAGCAACAGTTACTAGAATATAACTGAGGATTGGGGAGGGGGGTGAAACTTTTGGGACAATGCTTCTAAATTAATTACAAAGGCTTTTCAGCTAAACTGTAGACCAATAGGAATCAACTTGGGAAATGGTTATTTCCCAGTGAATTCTAACTTTGGGAACAATGCTTCAATCACCAAAGGCTCCTGGAATAATTCTTCTCAAAGTTTAATGTGCATACAAGTCACCTGGGGATCTTCTTGGGGTCAGTGGGCTGGAGCCTGAGAGTCACCATCTGGCAGGCTCCCTGTGAGGCAGTGCTGCCAGTCAGTGGCCATACTTGATGGGAATTTTCTAGAACAGTGTTTTCAAAGTCAGCTATTCAGACCAGCAGCAGCACCAGGACACATGTTAGAAAATGCAAACTCTTGGTGCTCACCCTGGACCTACAGAGTCAGGAATTCTGCAGGTGGAGCCCAGTGGCTGGGTTCAACAAACCCTATAGCCCTACAGGTGACTGATATATGCTCAAGTTTGAGAACCACCGTTCTAGAAAATTCACTGCCGACCATCTTTAGTGTAATGCACGCCAGCGTTCAAAGTCACTGAAGAAAGGTCTCCCTTGGGTTGTGCCTCAAGTTCTTTGGCTTAATCACCCCAGGTTTTTCAAGATTTCTTGGGCAGTACCAGGGATCTTGGCCTTTTGCCTGGGTTGGTCTTGGACTACATCCTCCTATCTCCACTTCCTGAGTAGCTGGGACCCCTCCTGGCCCTGAAGTTATCATTTTAAGGTTCTAATCACAGAAGTTGAGGCTTAGAAGGAACTTTAAGATGTTCTGATTCCTTTTCCTTATGCTTTATGTTCCTCTGCAAATCTTGTCTACCTCTGAGCTATCAAATTAAGTGGTGGAAAACATTAAAGTGAAATCTAAATTGAAGATACATCTAAAACTCATTTGTTGTTTTATCAGTACTTATCACTTCTGTGTCAGAGGTTTGGGCCATCCTGCCTGCTTTGATTTGAGGTGTAAAGATACTTTTATAATGACTTATAGTTTCACCTCTTATTTATTAATTTTTTTTACAGGAGCAAAGATTGGGAGGATTGTGGTTCAAGGCCAGTCTACTGAAAAAGTTATTGAGTCCCTATCTCAACAAAAAAGCTGGGTATGGTGGTAAACATCTGTAATCTCAGCTATGTGGGAAGCCCAGAAAGAATTGTGGCCAAGGCTGGCCCCAGGCAAAAAGTGAAACCCTATCTGAAAAACAACTAAAGCAAAAAGGACTGCTTGCCTAGCAAATATGAGGCTCTAAGTTCAAACCCCAATACTGCCAAATGAAAAATTTTTTTTTTCAAAAGGACAGAGCAGTGGGCAAGAATAAGTTAGATGCTACAGGAGCTTTTAGACAGCTTTTTCTTCTTTGAATTTGAAATTAGAGGCCTAGAGAGGTTGCTCTTGGGAAAATTAATGAATAGGTACCAAAAACTGTTATGGATTGCTATGGAAGAGGGAGGACTGAGTGGGCACCAGGGGCTTACCGAGCTTTGTTAGAAGACCAGGGAACCAGAGAGGTTTCAAAGTCATGAAATAATTCTTGCTAGATCGAGCTCTGAAACTGGATTCATACAACCCGACTATGAGGCAGGAGAGTGTAAGCTATCTTTTAGACTGAGGTCCTGATTGCACCTAGACAGATCAGTGACTCTGACTGCATGCGAGCAAGGTGATGCTAGCCCCCCAGAGCAGTGGGCCTGTGTGGCTGGACTGCTCTGGCCAGTGAGGCTGAGCTGTACCAAGGCCCTCTACCTCAGTGTGGAGGAGCCAAACTGATTTTCTCTCTTGAGCACATTCCTTCCTAGTTATGTGTCTTGCTACTGACACTCGTATGTGCCACTCCCTAGTTCCTCACAGTAGTTCGCCAAAACAATCATCTGCCCATGAGGAGAATTTGGGTTCTACTTGGAGCCTTGAGTCTGGTGCTAGATTTTTTTAGGGTCCCCTCCCTAGCTGCATAATACCAGCTTTTGATGTCCGCTCCCCCCAATTCACATAGTGTTCTTGCAAATGCATGTAGAAACCCCATTTGTTTTCCAGGAGAGAGCTTTTGAGTTGAGCAAAATGACACATCTCCAGATACTTGTGAAAAAAGGCCTAGATGAATGCATAACTACTAACAATGACCAGGAAAGTGACAGTGGGAAATAGCATGGTCAAAGGCTCATGCCAAAGGACTTAAGATGTATGAATTTTGACAGGCTGAACAGCTGCTGATTCTGACCTAAATAAATGATCCAAGACATATGCTAAGAAGCTCTAGCCAAAAAATTGGGCTGTGGCCATCCATGGCATAGCCATTCTCCTCCTCCCATGCATGAACTTGAGACACTAGAATCTTTCCATAGCTTGTGGGGGGAACAGGAAGGACAAAGTGACATTTCAACTCAAGTAGAGCATGTGCTAACTGAGCAATCAGGTGTTGAGGGTTTGAGTCCATGGCCTTATATTGTTGGTCACCAGGTTCTGTAACCTGGAGAGATAAATCTGACAGAATATTTTGAGAATCTTAGAAATTAGTCAGTTAACAATGTATGCACATGTGAATAAATGAATAAAAAAAAGAAATTAGTCAGTCGGGTTGAGCTTCACTTTTGGAATTCCAGATTTTCTTTCAACAATTAATACATGGTTTAATTAACCTCTTCCCCCACCAATCTTTATTTTCTTTTTGTGACCTTTTTGTAGTTCATTTGGCAAATCAAAGGATGGCCAAAGAAAAGAACATTAAAAATGGGAAAAACTAAGATTTATAAAATGGACCCATTAATCTTAGACCTGGAATAGGTTTTGGTAGGAGGACATTGAAACCACCATGTTGTTTTGGTTATTGATGATTTTTCAGTCGATGAATAAATTATTAGCTGTCAACATCTTGGATAATTAATTTTTTAAAAAAGTATTAAGAATGTGCTTTTGGTTGTTATTTAAATGGATAAGTTGGCCCCAAATGACCAGAACGGGTAACAGCTGTGCCGTTAGTCTCACATGCCTAGCCAAAAGGGTTATTTTTCTTCCCTACCTCCTTCCCCAGCCCTTTATGAAGCCAGATAATAAAAATGTACCTGTCCTGCAGTATCATAGAGTCCCAGCAAGTGCTGCTTGCCTCCCACTGTCACAGTCACTAGGAGAGAAGAGGAGAAACCATGAACATAGCTTCAATCAGGAGACCTTACCGTTCTGCATGCCAGCATCTCTCTGGGCAGCGAGGAAAGCATATGCCTCACACGTGTATATTCTAAACCGAGTTGACAGCATGATTTCCAAATGAAAGGCAACCTTGGGCTGCCATGACAGCAGATGGCCTGAGCCAAGTCCAAATTTCCCAACAAGATGAATAGGGTTGGTGCTGCTGGCATCGGACTGCGTGTTGATGCTTACTGGGTTCTAGAGCACCAAGCCTCTGATGGGAAAGGAGGCTGTCCCCTTCATGGTTAGCTTATTGTTGTCATCTTTTCTTTGGTTGAGCCACCTCTCAGAGGATACAGAATTATGTAAGCAATTCCTCTGTGAGAAATCTCTCCACTTTTATCTGCCTTTGAAATGCTAATAAAACCCAGAAAACAAAGAATATTAACCTATCTCCATATTTTATATTTTTAGCAAATAATTAAGTGAAAAAGGCTTAGCATTTATTTAAGTTTCTTAATTAAGCATAAACTTGATTAAAAACATAGATCAAATTTCCTGGGCTTTGGTGCAACAAATTCCTTATGATTTTGAATCTTGGTTGCGAAGGAGCTGTGGTATGGGCTCCATTTCACACACCTAAAGTACACATCTAGAGTGAAAAGTAATCAGGTTGATCGACCCAGCAGGCTCACTGCCTTGCCATGTAACTGTGTCCAACAGTGAGAAGAAATCCAGGGACAGCAATGTGCCCAAGCCTGGAAGTGAAATAAAGTCTCAACTTGAAACTACATGGACTTTAAACAGATTGAATGCAGGAGTAGTACAAGTCTCTTGGTGACTGGAAAGAGTAAATTTAAATTTCCAGAAACAACCAAATCCCTTTTTTTTTGGAAATAGAAATAACATATGAGGGAAAGTATGAGTTCCTCTTCCCTGCCCCACTGATTAAAATATATGCAAATGCGATGTGATGATGAGTTACAAGTCCTATCACTAGCTGTGCAGGAAATGAAACAGAAAAAGAATAGCAACCTTTTCTAACCATATCTCTGATATATGCTGGCCACATTCTCTAGTCTGCTGCCCAGAGTTGCTGCTTTGGTCCTGATTTTCACTTTTCAGGTTCATGGGCTGCCTGTATGCAAAACACTTCTTAACCGTCATTCTTTGGAAAGCAGTTGTTTGAAAGCACTGCCTCCTAGACACTGGGGACGATGCTAATCCACTCAGATCCATGTGTGTTCAGCTCAGTAACATAGCTGCAGTCACCCATGAGCTTTTAAATGTGCATTTTAAACCACGAATCCAGTTCCATCCATCCCTTGTTGCAATGCTGGCAGAGGAAGGGCATTTAAACATTTTTAGTCGAGTCCTTAAGTCAGGGTAGTAATGGAAATGAAGGTAAGAACCTGTGGCCCAGAGTGCTTTGTCCTGTTTTTTTTTTTTTTTTTTTGTCTTCATGTTGGCTGGCAGAAGACAGCCTGGTCAGATGTTTCTGAAATCTTTAACAACCAGTTGGCTACTTAGTCATGGATCAGGAATGAAGGGAAGAAATCCATCCATTACAACATGGAATTTCCTGCCTCCAGTGGGCCCAGTGCATGAAGGTCAGGGCAGCTGTTCCTGAGACCCCTTAAGCAGTTCTGTGACACCCAGGCCCAGGGTCATCCATGGAACAAGCACTGGAAGCCAAGTCATCGTACTGCCACTGTGCCCTGCAAGCATTCCTAAGCAATGGCCCTGACCTTTGTCACTGGAGCCTGAAGCGCCCTGTTTTTTTCAGAGCACGCTTTTCCTCTGGCCTCACCCTTTTCTCCTTGGCAGTTTTGGCTCAAGGGAATTTCACCAGGCCTAAAACAAGAGTGAGCTAAGAGAGGTTTTGTCATGGACTGAGAGTCTGGGCACTGCCTTCTTTCCCCCCTCCCTTCTGTCCCTTCCCTTCTTCAAGGGCCTGTTCAGTCCTGGACTGGACCTGGGGCTGGGGATCGAAAGAGCAGATACGGTTTCTCCTGTTATGGAAACAAGTGGTTTCCCAGCAAAGCACAGGCACAATGCTGTGCCCAGGCAGTGTGGAGGGGTTTGGGAGCACACAGCAAGGGCACTGAGTGTACATGCCTAGGGCACACTTGGTTAGACAAGGCCTTCTGGACGGGATGTTTGAGCTGAGGTCCAAGGGATGGCCCAGAGTTCCCCAGGGTACCCTGGGAGAGATGGTGCTGAAAAGTGGGCATACAGGACAGACAGGGCTCACTAACTCAGGTTTTATCTGGAGGCTTTAAGCTATGAAAGTCCTGAATTATTCTTTCCCAAAACAAGGAAAAGGAATGAACTTCCTTGGGTTAAGGCAAAATGGTAGTAGGAGGGAGGACACCATTCTTGGCATGAAAGCCACATTGGATTTTCAGCTTTGCTGTTAGGGTCTGTGAGCCCTGCCGGAGGAATTCTAAAGGAAGGGAGCAAAGCTTACATCCCTAGCTTGAGAGGTCACTTTATTCCCTCTTCCCTGCCTTGCATTCTCCCGTTCTACTGCAGGGAAGGTAAGTAGATCGGTTTATGCCAGAGGATATCAAGGGACAACCAGAGCATCAGTCCTACACTGTGGGTGGTACAGGTCATATTTCTGAGCCCTTATCCTGGAATAGCTGTGGATGCCTTGCTACTTGCTACCCTGTATGCCCTAGGCGGCTCAACTGGAAAATTTCAATTGGAAAATTTCACAGAAGGAAGGTGTCATAAAATGTTAATGGTAAATCTAGTGAGGTTGAAAGAGGATTTTTTTTTTTTGGTTAGCATATATTGTACAAAATAATGGATTTTTTTAATGATATTTTCATACATGTATATAATATACCTCAATATTCACCCTATCACCCTCACTTGTCCCCTCCTCCGGCTGTCCCCCTCCCCTCCGAATAGTCCTCCTTTGACTTTCATATCCTAAAAAACTAGATTCCATGTGTGAGAGAGAACATTATATTTGTCTTTCTGAGTCTTATTTTGCTTAACACGATGAACTCTAGTTCCATCCATTTTCCTGCAAGTGTCCTAATTTTATTCTTTACGAATAATGTTCCACTGTGTATATATGCCACATTTTCTTTATCTGTTCATCTGTTGATGTAACTTAGGTTCATTTTATGACTTGGCTATTGTGAATAGTGCTGCAATAAGCATGGGTGTACAGGTCTCTGTTGTATGCTGACTTACATTCCTTTGGGTATCTCCCCAGGAGTGGTATACTAGGATCATGTAGTTCCACTTTTACTTTTTTTGAGTAATTTCCATAGTGGCTGTACTCATTAACATTCCCACTAAAAATGTATAACTTTTCCTTTTTTTCTGCATCCTTACCAGCATCTGTTGTCATTTTGTTGGTGATTGCCATTCTGTCTGGAGTGAGGTGGAATCTCAGTATAGTTTTGACTTGCATGTCCTTTATGGCTAAGGGTGATAAACATTTTTTCATGTATTTATTGGCCATTAGTAATTCCTTTAAGAACTATCTATTCATTTGCCCATTTATTGATTAGATTTTTCTTTTGGTGTTTAGTTTTTCTAGTTCTTTATATATTCTGGATATTCTTCATCAGATAAATAACTGGCAAAGGTTTCTCTCCCACTCTGTAGGCTATCTTTTCATGCTGGTAATTGTTTCTTGTGCAGAAGCTTTTAAATTTGATGCAATCATATTTGTCAATTCTAAAAGCAGGCTCTTTTGAGTCATATAGTTGTACACCTGAATCCTATCTTCACCATTGGAGTGATCTTGGGAAAGTCACCTAATATCCTCAGCCCCTTATCTATATACAATGTGGAGTACATCTCCTACCAAAGTGAAGTGAAAGAAAATGAATAAGTGAAATGAGCAAATGCCTGGCATACATCCTGCCTCAGGACAGATGCTGAATAATTATTCAACCAATGCTTATTTGGCCCATTTTGAGGACAAGGGTCACTCTTTCTTTCCATTGATGACCTGGTGCACATTAGCTGGCACATAATGGGATCTTAATATTTGTGAATTTATGAGTCACCTTCTACCCTTTCTGTTAGTTATAGTCCCACTAGATAGCATGATCCTTGAGGCAGAATCTGGTTGCCTGACATACCCCACACTACCCAGCATGCTTCATGCTTCCTGCCGGACACAGTGGCTGCTGAGTTCATGGTACAGGGGTGGAGCTGCAGGGCAGCTCAGGCCCTGGAAGTCTCTTAGCATGTGCAGAACTGCAGCTTGATGCTCTGATTCTTGGGGAAGATACTGCTGGGAAGGCCTGCAGCCAGCAGAACTGCCTGGCAAACAGTGGAGAGGCTGAAGTCCCTGATGGCCTTCTATTCTCGGAGCTATTAGAGTTGTTTTCTGGACCTAGACCAGTTTCAGAGAGAGTAGGCCAAATGACCTGCTAATAGCTAGGATGGGTCTCTCAGTATAGTGTGAAAAGCTGTCAGTGACCCGTTATGCAAAATGAAGCCTTTCTTGTTCAAATCCATTCCAACTCTGTTTCCTTGGGTATGTTCTTAGAGTGAGTTGGGGTGGTTAATTCCACTAGGCATTGTGAAGTAGCTAAGTTATGGGTCTAGGTTTGTTCTCTGAGGATCAGTTAACTTTACCCAGAGAGAGAATATCCCAAGCCTCCTTCCTCTGCATTTTAGTTATTACACCAAGCTGTGCGTCATTTGCAAAGGTGAATGAATCGACTTGGGCCATCAGTTCTGCCCTCCAGTGGCCCTAGGAATGGGGTTCAGTGCTCCTTCCTTGTTGGGTGGTGGGCTTGTCTCAGTTGCCAGGAGCAGCTTTTTTTTTTTTTTTTTTGTGGTATTGGGGTTTGAATTCAGGGTCTACACCTTGAGCCACTCCACCAGCCCTTTTTTTTTGTGATGGGTTTTTCAAGATAAGTTCTCATGAGCTATTTGCCTGTCGTTGGCTTCGAACCATGATCCTCCTGATCTCTGCCTCCTGAGTAGCTAGGATTACAGGTGTGAGCCACCGGT